ACGGGTACGAAATAGGATGAAATTGCTGTCTCAATTTAAATGCCCAACACCTGCAGGGTTTTGTCCATCCCTCTGTGGGAAAACAAATACATATTGAGCAAGTACTTAAGAGAGTGCCTAGCACTTGGTAACAGCTCAATAAATGTTATCTATTACTCTTACTAATATTATTATGTAGTATGATGTTGTAATGATATAACATACAATTTTGTCCATTTTCTTGTTACCGAATATTGAGTCTTTATCCTTTTGGTATGAAAACCCTTGCCTAATGATTATGTTATTCCATTCTCTTTGACAATAATTGATTTGAGAATGGGCACATGACCAATATTGAGCAGAGAAACATGAACTTTTGGAAATGGTTTCCTTGCTCCTAAAATGAAGTCACAGGAATATAGGGTCCTTGCTTTTCTTCTAGACACTGTGTGTCTGGATGAGATCCATGGAGGAACTACAGTGTTCTTGCCCCTGAGAGAGGCCAGTCTGGGATAGAAGCTGGTATGTTAATAATGGCAGAAACAGAACTGGAAAGAACTGACTTCTTGAAGACTCATTGAGCCTCTGATCATAATAAGCCTGGTTTTCAGCTAAACTCTGTACACAGGTGATAGTAGACGTCCATGTTAATTAAGCCAATTTGAGATAAGATTCCTATTGCCTAAAGCCAAAAGAATTCTAACTATAAACTTGCTGAAACAGTTTTAAAATATTTATACTCCCACTAGCAATGTATGAGGGTTTGTATTTTTCCATGACTCTATCAACACTTGGTGTGATCAGACCTTTTAATTTCTGACAATATTATGGGTGTGAAATTGAAACTCACTGATGTTGCAGTATAAATCTCTGTGATTTTCTATGTATATAATCATATAATTCTCCTCACCTCGAGTCAATTTATGATTTATATCTCATCTCTTTTTATTCTCTCATTAATTTGCCAGTACTTCCCAGTATAGAGTTGAGAGGAAGCAGTCATGGTAATAACAGCTTAAACAAAATAGTTTATTTCTTACATTTCAAGAAGTCTGGAAACTGGCAGTTTGGGGCTCATATGGTCCTACATATTGTTAAGAACTCAGAGCTTCCAGTTCCCCACTCTGATACCGTTGGTTCATAGCAGCCTCCACATCAGCAGTGGAAATAAGGGGGAAGAGTAGAAAAAGAAAGGTGGTAAGTCACAGGCCAGATGTCTGTTAAGGAAGGGCTCTCGGAAGCTGCCTCCTAAAGTTTTAATTTATATCTCATTAGCCTAAACTTGGATTAGAGGTAGATATGTGGGGGAATAACTAAAGTAAGAAATGATCTTTTTTAAAATAATTTTTTGAGTTTATTTATTTTGAGAGAGAGAGTGTGTGTGAGCAGGGAGGGAAAGGGCAGAGAGAGGAGAGAGAATCCCAAGCAGGTCCTGTGGTATCAGCACAAAGCCCGATGCCAGGCTCGAAGTCTCGAACCATGAGATCATGATCTGAGCCGAAATCAAGAGTTGGCTACTTAACCGGCTGAGCCAGCCAGGAGCCCCAAAGTAGGGAATGTTCTAACATTTCGCTGCCATTGAATTTGCTTGCTGTTTGGCAGATATGAACAATTGGATAAGAGATTGACCTTCTATTACTGTTTTGTTCCTTTTTTTCATAAGTTGTTTTGAATTTCATTAAATGACCGCTGCATTTATTTATATAAATTTTTCTTTACATTGTCAAGTTGACATATTATATTAATGTATTTTCTAAATTTAAATCATCTAAATATTCTCAGGATCAACACATTGTGAATCAGTTTGCTATTTTACACAGTAGTTTTACGTCTATTTGAAAAATGACAATTGCTAATCATTTTTCTGGCTTTATTTCTTTGCAGAATCATTAGCAAATACATACTAGTTCCATAAAATTAGTGGGTGAACTTTAATTTTTTGTAAACACTGGGACAGTTTTATAAGAAAAAGGTTTTCTATTTCTTGAAAACGTGGTGGAATACTACAATCTGGACCTGTTGCTTTTTCTGTATGTAGACTTTTTGATAATGATTATATCTCTTTAGTTGATATAGGTCTACTCAGATTTTTTGTTTATATTGAATACATTTTGTTAACATATTTTTTCTAGAAAATTAACATTTTATTTTAAAATTTATTATAAAGGTTCTGATATTTTGAACAAGTTTTTAAAATCCTCAATATTACATATATTTATGGTCTTTTCAATATCTGTCTATCTATGTACCTATCACCTGTCTGTCTATCTATTGCTTCTCTCTTTCTCTCACCCTTTTCTTTTCCCTGATCCACTTTGGCAGAATTTTGTCTATATTCATGGTGCTTTTATAGAACTGGGGTTTAATTTCATTGCTCTTCTCTATTCTTTTTGCTCGTCTTCCATGACATTAATATTTCCTCTTTTGTTGTTTTTCTACTTTCTTAAGTTTTGTTATTTACCTAATTTCTTGATTATAATTTAGATCATTAATGCTTAACCTGTTAATGAATGTTTAATTTGTGCAGTTCTATATTAGTTACGTATGCTTTAGGCTAAAGTAAACGACACTTTCAGAAATATTTTGAATAGGAGTCCAGGCCTCAGATGGTGGCTTAAAGGCTTCATGGTCTGAGATCCTTCCATTTTGCTCCTCTCCTATCCCTAGGGAATTGCCCTGATCTGTGTAGTAGAATATCACCCAACTGCACAGCTGCATTCAAGCATAAGATCATAGCATCACTTCTGCTCACTTATGTCTTGTTTTCTGAATCTAGGACAAAGCACACCTTCATCCGCTCTTTTGGCTGGCTTGTGTAGGTTGTCCACCCTCACCCAACACGCACACACACATGCACACACACACACACACACACACACACACACACACATGCATGCACGTATGCACACATACACAAATAAATATATGTAATTTTTAAAAAGAGCTAATTCATCATGGTGTATAGTTCTTCACCTTTGGATCCAGGTTCAGATCCTGGCTCTAACACTTCAAACTATAGCATCCATCAACAAGTCATTTAACTTTTCTGAAACATGGTGTTCTCATCTGGAAAATGAGAATAATAAAACATTCTTATAAGTTGTTGAAGAAAAAGTTTAAGTAGGGAAAGTGCACAGTTCGGTTTTTGGCATCTAGTAGCATTCGATAGAAGTACACCTCTGTGTACCTATAGGAAATGCCTCAGTAAAGGTGGGATCACCAAATCAATTACTGAGTTCAGAAGAACATGCTTTGTGATTTTCTTGTTATGTTTCTGCTTTAGGGACAAAGGACATTGTTTTTTAAAGGTGACAATTCTCTAATCATGGTAAAGGGAGGTAAATACTTTGTTTTCCTCCAGGGAGAAAAAGAGATGTATTAAATGCTTAACGGAATTTTCTTCAATGCCACAAAATTGGTGGCTATAAATTTTGAACACAAGTTGAATTATTGTTGACGTTTTATTTCTTCAGGGGTTTTTTGACCACATCATTAAACTGTATCACTTTCATTGACCTAATTTTATCATGAAGTCCAGGGGACTATTAAAGGGATACTTTAAAAAATGAAATGAAATGAAATGAAATGAAATGAAATGAAATGAAATGAAATGAAATAAAAGTTTTATTCCATGTGGTCAATGTGATGTTCTTGCTAATTTCTATCAATTGCTGTTAATTCAGTTTTGTTTCTTGGAAAAGTATATATAAAGATGAGCATTTCCATAAAAGGACAGACGCCATAGGTGTTGGGCTCAACTATTCTTATTATTTTATTTATTAAGAGCAATATCTAAGAATAAAATGAAAGGTGCTATTTTTCACAAACTCATTTAAGTGAATTTTGAAAATATGGGTTCAGAGAGTCTAGTGACTAGTTTTTAATCCACAGATCAGTATACCTAAATTTTAGAATTCAAACATCACCCCTTGCACACTACTTAGAACACACGATTACTGCACAAAATATATCAGTCAGGATATGAAATTTTTTTTCCCTTGACTGAGTATGAAAGGAGGCCTGAGAAATGTATCTGTACCTGGTCTCAGGAGCAAGTAGTATAATTTGTTTTATACAATAAAATTCTATCAAAAATTTTACCTAGGGGCACCTGGATGGCTCAGTTAGTTAAGTGTCAGACTCTTGATTTTGGCTCAGGTCATGATCTCATGGTTGGTGGCTTTGAACCCTGAGTCAGGCTCTGCACTGATAGCACAGAGCCTACTTGGGAGACTCTCTCTAACTCTGTCTCTCTCTCTGCCCCTCTCCAGCTTGCTTACTTTCTCTCAAAATAAATAAATAGATTAAGGAAAAAAATAGAATGATTCAGAGATGAAAAAAATGCAATAAAGGAGATTGGAAATAAGTTTGATGCAGAAATGAATTAAAACTTTAAAGTATCTGAAACATTATGGGGCACCTGGGGGACTCAGTCGGTTAAGTGTCTCATCGAGCCCCACGTTAGGCTGTGTGCTGGCAGTCCAAAGCCCACTTGAGATTCTCTCTAGCCCTCTCTCTCTGTCCCTCCCCTACTTGCTCTCTCTCTCTCTCTCTCAAAAAAGTAAACATTTGAAAAAAATTATCTAGAAAAAAATCAGTTAATTCTAACAACTTATACTACAAAAGGGGAAAGATGAGGAGAGATTGTGAAGGAAAGAGACAAAACAGAGACAGAGACAGAAACAGCCATATAAACAAAGTGACAGGGAGAGAGAGAGAGAGAGAGAGAGAGAGAGAGAGAGAGAGAGAGAAGCAGCAGCAGAGAGAGGCATTTCCCCCTACAACTGAGGGAAGTCATCTGCTTACTTGGCTGTGTCTCTAAGATATTAATTCCAAATTGGGGGACATAGAAAGCATGAAGAAATTAACTTCATAAACTATCAGAAGTCTATTTTAGTTAAAATTTAGCTCTTCGATCAAACCCCTTTTTTTAAAAAAGTCTTAAGGTTAATGTTATATAGCACTTGAAGAACCAAGACATGTAATGTTTGTCTTCTTTGCCTTCCTTGATCTGTCTCCAGAAACGTGCTCCGAGAAAGGAGCTCAGTGCCCAAGAGGAACAAGGACAGACTTCACACAATGACACATCCTAGATAAGTATCACCTTAAACAATGACGTTGGGACTTCTTCCCTAATCAATCGTATCTGGCTTCCAAATTTAAATACAGTTTTATATAAGCAATGTATGATTTCTATTGTTTTTCTTAAATGTATTTTCTATATAGAAGTATCATTACTTGATTTCCCAAGCAAATCAGTTTTTCCTAAATTGAAAGTTAGCCTTTGTTGAATGCTATTTTAACACAGAATAACAGAAGTAGAGTATTTTTTGCAAATATAACTATCTGTTTTAATAAAGATGGAGACACCTTGAACTACACACACACACGCAAACACACACACACACACACACACACACACACACACACACACACACACACTTTGACACATACTTTCAGGTAATAGTGAAGAATGAAGAACCTGAGGGAAGCATTACTTTAGCCTGGTAGCTTTCTTAATTATCATTACCCCTTTATGATGCTATTTGCAGCTGAATAACTAGTTTCTCTCTCCCAGCCATGACTTCCTTCTGTTCATCCCTGCAGTGGAGGCAGAATCCTGTGTGTGTGACACTGCAATCTGTCACATGGTATGATTATAATCCCCACACATTCAGCATTAGCCATACCAAGTGTAAGGGAAAGAAGAACAATATCCTCCACACTTAGTTAAAATGTCATGGAAAACTGTGAAAAACACACACACAAAGTGTTCAGGGTGTCCATTTTTCAGCATGATGTATTTTTAGTTTTCTGCAGCCGGCAAGTCTTAATTCAAACCAAAGAAAAATATCAATGGACTGCATATGGTATACTTCTCAGCATCTTTAAACATATTTGAACCAAGCAACATCATCCTTACAGCATTTTCTAGGACTAAACTATAACTGCTCACATTTATAATGCCTCCAAACCAGGGAGTGAAAAGGAACCTGGAAGAAACATTGCCAAGCCATCCTCCTGTCTTTCTGGATGCTGTTTCTCAGTCTTTTTGTGGGTCCTTACCTTGGGCCTCTTCTTGTTTATGGTTGTTCATGTTTACGCCCACTCCCCAGACGATCTCATTCAGATCCATCTACATAATGGCTCCCAAATTCACGTCACTAGATTAGCCTTCTTTCTTGAAATTTGAATTCATATATGCAGCCACATACTTGACATCTCCACTTGGGTATGTAACCAGCAGCTCAAACGTAATGTGTCAGTCATGTCCAGTCACCAATCCCCAAATCTGCCTTCTCATCTGAGTTCATGGTAACTTCATTTCTCTAGTTGTTTTGCCCCAAACACCATCACTGACAATAATCTGTGTAACAAGCCCCAAATGTCTTGTTGTCCTACTTCTACAACTTCCATAGAGTTATAGTGGAGAAGCATATTTTTAGTAATATCTAGTGTTGAAAGTACTAGAATCATTTGTTGCATATTGAAAAGGGAGCAAGAAATGGAATTCACAATAATAATAAAGTGAGCAAAGAGCCAAATTTTAATACAACTTTGTCTATGCAGTGGGGCTCAAAGAATGACAGGATAGATGAATAAATAAAGGAGTCTGGTATTTATAATACATCAATGTCAGTATTTCAAGTGTAGTCACCGTTTGACAATGCAGAAAATGGATGTAAAAATAGAATAATTAGACCTCCATTCTTAACCTAGAAAATCAAATTCTTTACTCTCATCTCCCTAAGTCTTTTGTTTTGAACACTTAGCTTGGTAAATTGTGTCATATAAAGGCAAACATTTTTCAGGTTTGTAGAGTACCTAGTATAAAGTTAGTAAAAAAAAATCTGTTAGAGTATTGTTTTCCCCCAGTGTGCAGTGCATTTATTGTTTAAACAACTTACCTGGCTAATGTTCATTTGTAAATAGTTCACAAGGAACTATTATTTATCAGTGTGTGAGCCATTAAACTCACACTGTAGTACATAATTACATATAAGTAGTAGAGAATGCTCCAAAGTGTTTCTCTGCCAGGTAAATGTTCATCACAAACATGTACAAGGTATATTGATGATTTTTCCAAACTCTAACTGGTGGCTTAGCCTAGAAATGATTACCTTTTGCAGACTAGTAAAGTGTTGCAATTATGTTTTTAATGCATAAAAGCTTGCAATAATGTTTTTAATGCATAGCATTATATGGGGAACAAATTATTTTGAAACAGTCAAATATTGAAATAGGGAACAAATTATATTAGAACAGTCAAAATATTAAGAAAATATTTGTGACACAAATAACGTTTCTTTGAATGTTAATAACAAACAAGATCTAGCAGTTGGACTAAAACTGCTATAATTTCAAAATAGTGATAAGAAAATTTCTAGGTATCTTCAATACATATAAATATGACATTATTAAAATATCTGTGATTTCTGTTGGTGACAAAGTCATAGATAGTGCTAATAATAATGTTGTTGGTTGCCTACATTCATATTGGAAGGAAATGATGAAGTTTGAGTTATAGATTAATAAAAATAAAACTGGATTTTTTTTCATCCAAATTTTCACCTCCCACCCCCCTTGAATTCTAACAGATCTCTTTAGGGTGATATTCCCTATTAAGAATGCCTGATTTAGCCCCTCTCTTGATTAAAGGCTTTTAATGCATCAAAATGGTGTTTTTTGAGCCTGTCAAATCACACTTGTATTTTTCTTTTCCTCTTGGAGGATTGATGTTTGGATTAAAAAATATATATCCCTTTTGTAAATATTAACTGTCATCTTTAGCTGTGATAGATATTCACTTATCCCAGGGTGGCACATGCATAAATACATTCATGTTTCTTTCCGTGTTTCTTCCCATATCCTCAGTAAAAATTTTAGTCTCCTGTGTGTTCTCCAAATTAGTTAACAGAAAGCATTTGCTTAAATGTAATTCTCCTTTGTGATGCTTAATCAAAAGAAGAATGTTTTCCCCCAGCTTTTTCTAACTTGACACAAGAAATAGCTTCAAGTTTTTTCAGTGGGACTCATTATGTGGTTGCTGATTGGTGCGATCTGCTTGTTTGGGGTGATTGATACTTGCTTCTAGAATACCAGGAAAGGGAGCTTTGCCAAATTTAGAAGTCGTCCCACCCTTATGCAGTCTATAGTTTTGACAGAAAAAAAAATGAGGCTTTGAGTATTTAAATTGGTTTGCTTGGCAAATACAGCTCCAAAGGCTTCTTAGAGATCCCATATTCTTAAAAATTAAGCTTGAGGGGCGTGTGGGTGGCTCAGTCGGTTAAGCGCGGGACTTTGGCTTAGGTCATCATCTGGAGGTTCATGGGTTGGAGCCTCGCCTCTGGCTCTGTGCTGACAGCTGAGAGCCTGGAGCCTGCTTTGTATTCTGTGTCTGCCTCTCTCTCTCTCTTCCCCTCCCCCCTCATGCTCACTCTCTCTCTCTCTCTCTCTCTCTCTCTCAAAAAATGAATACACATTTAAAAAAAATTTTTTTTAATTAAACTTGATAACTCCAGTAATTCGAATTATATTAGAACTTCTAGATTTCTTTCTTTCTTTTTACTTTTTCTTTCTTTCTTTTTTCTTGACTTCAATAAAGATTAATCCCTTGGCAAAACAATTAAGGGCTTAAATGAACCTGGGATGTGTAAATGCTATGTTGAGATCTTAGCACCCTAACACAGGTTCTGTCATTAACACAGGTTCTGTCATTAACCCAGGGTTTATTTGGATCATAAAGAACTGCTCTAGGTTTAGAAGACCTGTGTATCATCTTAATTTTACCTTTGTTAGTCCGCAGGGCTTGTCACTTAATTACAAGTCTCTTAAGTTTCTATGATTGCAAAACTCACCTTATAAGATATGATACTTACCTAATTTTCCTTAGCTCACTGAAAAATAAGGAAAGAAAGGATTTTCAACACATACATCAGGAAATGATGGAAATTAATATTGAATGAATTAGTCTATGGCAATTAATTTTAAATCACTGAGGACTCGAACACCAATAGTATACAAAATATGAATTGATGCTTTGGAGTATAACTTAAATAAGCCACAGATCTGATCTGCTTAGGATTGTGTCCATTTAGCATGTCTAATGCTTACAGTCATTTTTATTCATTCAAAAATATTTATAAATATTTACTGGACACCTACAATGTCATAGGCATGGTGCCAGGTAGGCCAAAAACAAAATGGATAAATTGTGGGCCCTTCGCTCAGTGAGCTCACAGGGTAGGGAGGAGGGAAAGCTTAAACATTCTTTAAGAACACTGGCTGTTTTTATTTTAAGGTACCTCCCTTCCATCTCTAGATGTTATATCTTTACATATCCTTTCCTTCCCTTGGAACCAGACTGGAACTACAGAAGAAAATTAAAAACACCTTCAGTATCAATGTTGTTATTTCATAGGCTAACAGTAAAGAATTAAGCTAAGAAACACGTGTCTTATTTTTATAGGATTTCAGTATTGGTATGTATGAGTCACAGACTGAGAGGAAATTATTAGAATCCTTTGATATGAAAAAGCACTTTCTCAGTTTCTTAGCATTTTGTCACTTTACTCACCAGTAGTTTCTACCTTCTGAGGGAGGAAACTACTAAAAAGGAAAAAGAATTGAAATTTTAATAAATTCGGTTCTTATAAGGCTTTTGACAATGAGGTCAAAAACTTTGAGATGAATATTGTATTGTCAGGAGTGGGTATTGCTGCTTTACCTAGTCATGTTTACTTTGAATTATTTCTTATCAAGAGAGTTAATTAACAATTGCAGTATTTAATTTAGCTTTAAAAAGAATCATTAGCCCATTCATCCAAGAAAGACCAACAAACTGTTCTTACTGTTTATGAATTCTTGTTTACACCACACAATGTTACTGTGGCTTCTCCAACAGGATAACTCTCGGTGAAAGAAATGGATAAAAATGTTTAGGATGGACCCCAGTCATGTAGAGTCCCCCACTTCCCCCAAATAAGGGATAGAGAGAAAGGGAGAAATAGAAGACTAGACCATGAGAGACAAAGGATGGGAATGAAATAGGATCAATGGAAGGCATGGTAATGGGGGAAACGGACCGAAAAAGAAAAACAGCTACAATCAAAGTAAGAGTTTTCTAAGTGCCTGGAATTAAGTGGTAAGACAGATGATGGGGTTAGAAAAAATTCATTTTGGA